AAGCGTTGAACTTGATGATAAGCATGCAGAGCGAACATTATCACAACTACAATCATAACTGAATGAAGAGAAAGGATTACAGCACACAGAAGTTGCCTTTTCAGAGGAAGAATCCGAGTGTACAATTGTATCCAAAGAGCCTTCTCCATTTTTCTGATCCCGCATGCGTGCAGGTAGGACGGTTGGCGCTCAATTTGAATACGTCGGCAGTGTCGTGTGCTATCGTTGGCTCCTGAGAAATAGTTGGAAGAAGTGACCTCCAAGAGGCGAAAGGTTTCAGCGTCCTCTCCTGTCGCGATACCAATTGATGAGTCAGAGAAATGTTTTGCTTTGCGGCATTCGTCGTAGGCCTTAAACACAATGGTCTTGAGTGTGCGATATTTCTCCTGCATGGTGTGAAATGGTCGATAGATGTAGTAGGCCCCTGAGACCAAGAACACTAAATAGGGAAGGTTCTGATCGCTGTTCATGAAAAAACCAGCTACAGTAAATGTGACTACCCAGCATATTGTTGAACACGAGTCAATCAAAAGAAAGACGAAATAAAGGAAAGGAAATAAAGAAATAAATGCATATGGAAGTTTCAATCTTCTCAACACTGGGTTACAATCCATTTTGCTGAGCTGCATTCCTAGCATGACCAAGAATAAGAACCCTACTGGCATAAAGGGCATAATAAAGGGCATAAGCACTGAATACAAAAAATTGGATTTAAAGGCTTTCTTCAAAATGCGGAAGAAAATGCGCGGTTCAAGGTGATATCTTAGGGATGTCACGAGACAAATGTGACTTGGCGGGAACCCTGCATTTCGATTGGCTAAAAATGTGACACCGATATCCTTAAAAAAAGCCCCGGATGCCAGATTACGGTAGGTGTGAACGGGTGTGACAAAGACAACAAACACAAAGCTCCAGAGTGTGAGTGCGACTGCGAAACCAAGATAACCCACCCAAGGCTGAATATCCAAGAGTATACAAGTATATGCAGACGATACAGGGTGTGAATATATCCAAGTCAAAGTAGATACCTGGAATAATTCCGTAAACGCACAATTACCCTCCCAAATAAATGGATACTGTATTAGGTTGGTCACTACCAAAAAAATTATCATTGCGTGAACCATCAAAAATGCCAATACCCTATATAGAATGGTAAGGCATCTGTTACCCATTGGGGCAAAAAATAATTCGCTGAAAGGCGTCAAGTTGTTGTAGTATTCAAATTGTTGCAGCTCTTCCTTGGCCACGTCGCTAAGATACACTGAATATCTTGACGGAACTGCCTTAAGTATCAAGAGAGGGAGAAAGAAAAAGAGGGTTCCAGTAAAGAAAATTTGGACAATAAAAGCCACTACATGCACGAGGTATGGTGTCCTCACGTAGTCAAGAGTCACATTTTCCTTTGAGCGGTTATATAACATGTTTTGACTACAGCCAGTGCGTCCTTCCAATGGAAGTGACAAATTCCTGAGATATGACTTTACACACAGTTGCAAGTCTCCGTCATTTAATGATACGTCCGTCATTGCGTCTGAAATGCTAATCAAAATGGCGGATGTTATGCAGTACAGACGACATTCTAAATTTAAGTGTTCCCAACAAGAGTCGGGCTTCTGGACTATATCGACCTCAAAATCATAAACATCATGTTTGAGAGTCCACAGTGAAAGGACAACGAAGTATGGATACGCTTGCAAATAGGGCAAGGCGGTCAAATTATTCAATAACATCCATCTGTAAGTCAATTCCATCCCCTTTAGACCTCTGTCAGTTAATGTTGAGTAACTAGCAACCGTCACATTTGGAACAATTACAGTGTATCTGAAATTCATCCCAAGTAGTTGGCGTAGTAATCTTTGGCCCTTTTCGGTGAACGTCAATGTGCAGTTCTCGGGGCAGCTAAGTGTTGCGGAACCGAGAGGGGGCGGAGGTTCAGGCAATGCTCGCACAGGGCATAGATATGACGTGAAGAGCGTAATGATGAAGTACATTGAAACGGAACCGATGGCCGCCTTGATCGCCATTTTCTTTGGTGGTTACCAATGTCCCTCGAATGACAGTCTGAAATGAAACAAATTCACGGGACTGGTAAAACGATCAGGAGATTCACCAAATGTAAGCGTGTGCCTACCACTATCACTTTCGGTGCATTAGGGAAACACACATGTATATAGGCTAATGAATAGGGCTACATCCTTTAAGAAAATATACATATTTTTGTTGTATTATTTAGTTATGCTTTTTATGTAATTCGATATATTTCGGTAATTTTAGACACAGATCAGTTTTATTTGTTTGTTTAAAAGTCTATTTTTTGTTTGTTTGTTGTTGTTGTTGTTCTTGGCGTGTGTGTGACAGAAAGAGAGATTGAGAGAGAGAGAGAGTAAATACGGAGAGAGAGAATAATTTAGTAATGCTTCACCGCAAATGTCATCTTCTGAATGGATTCAAATTACACACAGTTGTAGTGGCTTTATTTCTACTAAAGGTATAAATCAATGTACTCCAGTAGCGCCAGTGGTGCAAAGCAGATTTCTTATCTATTCTGTGTGTGTGTGTGTGTGTGTGTGTGTGTGTGTGTGTGTGTGAGATAGAGACTGTTTCGGTTATAGTTCAAATATATACGCTTGAGCTTAAGACCTACTGGGGGAACTCCGTGCATGCTTAAATAAATTAACTATTCTATGGGAAAGTGGATTATCCATCCATTCCCGGAAATATTTACAAAATATTAGCTGTTAGATAAAACTGACACAGGCTTTGATTACTAATACTTAAAAATATGTCAAAGATTTTTCAATAAAGAGAAGTTACAAAAAGATATAACGAAAGCTTTTGTTCAGATACTCACCACAAGCACAAGTTAAGCAGCACAAAGATCTCTGTCTCTCTCAGCAGGTTCGAGAACTCGACTCTTCAATGGAACTCGGTTGGAATGAAATCGTATAAGATTGTGATGAAAGTGCAAGCGACAGTGACAGCCTACATGCATAAATATTAGTAATGCGGTTCTCTACTCAAAAATGAAAGTCAAGGTACCAAGTTATAACTATGTCCGATTGACCATATACATGCACATGGATCTATTTTTAAGAGTTAATTTTTAAACAAATGTATGCAAATACATTAAAAGATCATGGGCAAAGTAAGGTGTCCCGAGAGTTCTTATACGAATGAGTGGGCACAAACAGAACGGTGAATAAAAGGTGAAGAACGCCACTTCCTCTAAAATGAAGTTAAATGAACTTATATTTATCTTAAGTGTAATGAGATCACTGGCGTTTTACTTTCTCTTTTTTGTTTATTATCACTTGTGTTATTACCAGCGCCATTGCCATGAATCAGTTTTTCGTGATACTAATTTCCAGTTTTATTTTAAATACCGAAATGTTTATCAGTTGTAAATAGTATGATTCTTCTCAAGTAGAAAGTGATTTGTTTGTTTGACAAAAGCGCTGCATGACCATTATTAAGTTTAATTAATCTGTCAGTTGTTGCGTTTTCAAACCAGCTTTTGTTTAAAACTTCCGAAGGTTAACAAGAGAGACGTGACAGGGAGTACAAGTATTGCTGTGACATTATTCCTGTGTAAATTCAATGTTGCTATCCACCTCACTGGTATACATGTACCTGAAGAAAGTGTTCAATTTAATAACAAAAGTATCATCTACATAATGGAGCCAAAACCCCGCGTGTCTTCCTGGATAATCCCCGAGTGTGTTTTGTTTCCAACTACACTGTCACCACGTGATACCAGTGACAATTTAAAATTAGTTCACCTGAAGAAATATTATTGTAAGGTCGAAACGTCGTGATTTTTTCCGTTTCACCTAATACCAGCATCCTAGTATAATTTAGAACAAGATGGCTCAGAATTTTATTATGACATCTAAGTGTACCCTTATGCATTAATTAATGTCACATTGTATATATTACATAACTCCTTCATCTGCATAAGTCAACAGGGACCCAGGCAGTGTTCACATAGTATTTCACATGCCATTTTATTCCCCTCTTTTAACCAAGCTACGACAGTCTAACTAACGTATAAAGTCAACACACATGGTTTAGATACTCACATTAAGTTTTTTGAGTATATACATGCAGTTTCTTGTGAAATATGAATCTCAGTTTAATTCACTTGTGCAGTTTTAGTTTTAATGTACTTACATGTACGTAAACAGTGCTAAGACGCATGTGTACTGCGGTCTTAATTATTAAAACTATCATAGCTGTTGTTTTGGGGGTTCAACTGACCCAAGCATTCTAGCTATTACATATTTATAAACAAATGAATTAATTATTTAATCATTATATTCACATTTTTACTGTTCAGCTGTTTTAGTTTCCGTGTTCTTCGTTATTAAAGGCACTTTATAAGGCATGCACTAGCCAAATGAATTTTCCTAACGAATCATTGCATTGCACGTCCCTGTACTCTACGATATTAATACACTGATTTAGTTTCAAACCTCTGGCCAGAAAATTAGAATGTGGTGTTTTCCTGTGCAGTTCAGAGACCTTCAGAAGGAACTATCGACGCCAGCTAGGTATTTTTTATTCAGATAACTTTAGATTTTAAGGTCTGAATTGGGAAAGATAAGTAGATTTACAGGATATGTAAACAAAAGAATGTTATTTGGGGAATTTTAAAACGCGTACAATGTATAAGGGATCTGTGATTTAATTACAAAACCTCCATATGAATACGCTACGCAAATATTTGATCAAAGAAGAAGTTCAATTTATTGCGCTTCCAATTACATACATTGCGTAAAGTGTATTTTTGTTAATTTCAACAGTTTTCAAAATGGCAATTGCTACATAATTTAAATCAAAGTCAGTTTACAAAACGTTCAAGGTGTATTTCATGAAGCAGGTCTCATAAAAAGTCTCGGATATATCATCTTAAAGTTTTTGTTGCATGCCATTCAACAGGAAATTTCCTGTGCCACATCTTCCTCGTAATTTGCTGTCTGAATACATGAGAGTGACCAAAATTATGGACACAGAAAACGAACTTCGTAATCTTTGCAATACTGCCCACTTGGCTGGTCGATGTTGACGCAGACGAATCCTTCAGAGGGCGTGCACTTCACTCTGATCACCTGACCAGTCTGATCCCATGGCTGATTGGTTCCTCTGACGCGGCACTGGATGTCAATGGGTTCATGGCCGGAGCACTAAAATAAATAAAAACAGACGCATTTGCTAATTGTGTACCTATCACTTAAACTAGAAAATATGAAATGCATGATGACTGCACCAACAATTAATATATATAATCGTTACATGACATGAAATATGTTGAAATTACCGGATTAAATCCATTTGTTCCCACGTGTTCCCAGTCTCCTGTACCGCCGGGGTTGTCCCTGTCCAACCAGGAAGTCCACTTTGCGCATGTCCTACAGGTGCCTGTGAGATATATAAATTTTAATTAGTAAACAGATCTGAAATGAGCTACCCTGTACATACCATTTAAAAATGAACAAAATGTTTTTCATCTAGAATGTGTGTGCATGTACAGGAAAAGGGACCTTAGGGTGTTTAAATTATGATCATTGTCCTAATAAACCACCTCAACTCAATACCCCCTCATCCCGCCCCACCCCCGCCGCGCACGCGCGCACATACACACACACACACACACACACACACACACACTTTTATATACAGATGGAGCTCATCACCCACTTTGGTATTACATTTAAGTAAGTAAAAATAGTCAAAGAAAAATTGCATTTGCCCTGCCCACAGTTGACGGTCATCAGTCGTACCTATGGCTGGACACTTGAATTTCACCTCGTAGTCCTTGCAGGTCTTCCCGTTGACTGATGTAGTACAGACCAAGCCATTCTCCCAGCTACAGTCATAGTTGTTATTGTACTGGTCTCCAGTTGCATAATAATGGGAGTGGCTCACTCTATCGCGACACTGGGCACACATTGGGCGACCACCATTGCAAAGGTTGACGCCATCACCCTGAAAAAAGAACAAGAACAAAACAAAATATTGGTTTTATAAAATTTATACATCGACTTCGATATATACACAGAAACAAACAAAGAATAAAAAAAAAACTTCCAGTGTCAATCATGCATGGGGGTAACAAAGGGTTAAGAAATTTCTTCAAAATAAATTAACAATTCTTATGTCAACAATAGATATGATTTGTTTTAAAGAATGAAATATTTTTCAAAGAGTTAACAAAGCCTTATGGTTCTCACACCAAGCACCAACAGACATAAGCATCAGCATAATTAGTTTTATGTTTTTTTTTTTTTTTTTTTTTTTTTTGATTAATTAATCACATAAAATTTCACATAATGGCACTTTCTTTCATAAGTAGGTCAAAAGCAGACGGATTCATAACAGGAATTATAGCGGGTATAAATGTTTATAAATGTTTTAACATTAAAATATGAAATGACAGCAACTATAACGGCGTATCTTATCACATGTCTACTCTTACCCTGAAAGATGCAACGTTCTCCCAGTCGCCGGTGCCGCTAGGGTCATCCCTATCTAAGTAGTTTGTCCATGTACCACCTAGAACAAGAATAAAGACATGATAATGAAAATATAGTTAAAGCAGATTTTCATATATTATTTCAGAAATAAAAAGAGATTGAAAGAATAATGATAGAGTACATATATCCACTACACCCTTATTCGTACATTATAATAATTTGTTTGAAAAAGGGTACATGTAATACTTCTGGCTGTTGTACATCAGAAACGTATCTTATGCATGGTCACGCTTAGAACAATCATAGTACTTACTTGTAGTAGGGCACAAGTATCTTATTTCATAATCATAGCAGTTCCCGCCGCTCTGCTGGGAGTTAACGCACACCAGACCTTTGCTGGGTAAACAGTGAATCGCCAACTTATTGGGAGCCGTGCCAGACCAGCGAGTAAACGTACTGATTGTCCCCTTCACGCGACACTCTGCCCCGATGGGTTTACATCCGCCACACACGTAACCTAGTTTCTAATTAATAGTGACACAAGTTTTACAGTTATTTATCCTTTATAAGTATGTATGCATTATTTAACAAAATGCACGTCTCATTCCATAGAATGTTAGAACAAACCTATCCTCTCTCTCTCTCTCTCTCTCTCTCTCTCTCTCTCTGTTATTTCTATTATATATATTTTCTAACATTTATTTCGTGGAAGAGTGATTCAATCGAGTGCCAGTCCAATTTATCCAATCAAATCAAATGTTTTCCCAGTCTGAATTGATTATGCACCTTTTGCTCCGACAGATTTTCATAATCCCCATTACCACTAGGGTTGTCTCGATCATACCAACCCGTCCAATAGTGGCCTGAAAGAAGAAATGCCGTATAGTTTTAAACACAAATAAAATAAAATGAATATCATTTTTCATATTAATTAGTCACATGGATAGAAAAATTACAATTAACCGTCCTCTGCGTCATCAAAGATTGTGTTCTATGTGTATACAATGCATATTCTCCAAAGTGAATAACTGAGGGATAACACTCCACACAAAAACGCTACCCTTTTATCTATGCACCTTTTGTGGAACGCCATCACTCGATCCGCAAACGTTATAAAACATTTTGACTCCATGCACCGACCCGTCAAGTGTATCCTCCAATCCATACTAAAATGTGGCTAACTTTTTCTATCGTTAGTCTAATTGGCTTTCCAATCAGTGAATTTATGTGAAAAAAATCTCTAAAAGTTTTAAAATTTTTGGTTTATGACATGATTTTCCGCATCACCCAAATTATGCATTGCATTAGGTGTGACACTTTTTCGCGAAGGGAGTAAAGCAAACTTTTGGATAAATCTACTAAGTATACAATATCAAGACTAGTGGAAACCCTTACGATCCTCATCTTTTTTAGAGTTACACGTTCATAATTTATTAGTCATGGAGATGCAGACAGGTGATTTTTACTCGTGACAAAAAATAGAAAAAATTTTCATTTACATGTATACTTAATGCAAGGTCTCTGTTCCATTCGTCCTTTAAAATATGTTGCATGCAATAAATCTCTGCTGATATTTTCTACATTTATAGTAAATAATAATAATAATAATAATAATAATAATAATAATAATAATAATAATAGAAAAACACTCAGGAAGCACAGACCTCCACGTCAACTCACAAATCTTTATCATAAATTATTTATGAATTAATTAATCGATCAATTCAAAGTGTGCTCATTATTTTTCATAATTTATTAATTAACTGAATAATTCCCATTATTGATTAATAAATCAAAAACAAATTTAAAGTCTTGCGCATTTTTGATGTATCTTTCTGCTTCATCAGAATCCCTCCATCTTTTTGCATCATGTCCCTTATAGACAGACAAACTTAATAAATTAACTAACTACTGGATCAAAAGATCACAATCTGGTAATTTGTACTTGGTCTAATTCCGAAAGCTTCTGAAAACTTCAGCAATATCCGTCTACAGCTTTTTGCATCATGTTGCAAATACAAATATACAAATAATAAATTAATTTTCCATTCATATATCTATTGATCACCACCAAATTTTAATCTTTCTTTAAGGTATTTTCTGGAATGTTCATCTTAACCCCCCCCCCCACCCCCCGCAAGTTTCCACCGCCAGACAGACACTTAATTATCTTATAATCAACCTGAAGCTAATAAGTGGATCACCACCAAATTTTAAATAATTTTTGCCACCCCCCTACCCCGGACACTTTCTAAAAACCATCATAATTCGTCCTCAAGTCTTTCCCCAAAATATAACTAAAAGATGAACGGAAGAAAAAACATAGCCTCCCTGGCGGAGTCTTTTGATGTATGACATTCTATGATGTTTATTACAAAAAATACCAATTTGAGCAAATGTCATTTTCAGTGTGCCACATGGAGAATTTTATTTATCAAGAGTGGGGGGGGTGGAAAGTCTCCGTTGGTTCCACATAGGCCTCTAACACTATCAATACAATTGGAATCCCCTTAAATAAAGGCAAAAAAAATGTTATTCTAAGGAAAGTCCAAAAGATTTACTTTTCAGTACATAAAATCAATAGAACATTTCTAACATAATTTCTCAAAACGACACCGCAGTGAGCAAATTAAAATCAACCAGACGCTAAACACAGGTTCTGTCAATTTCACTATTTGTTTATTTTAAACAGCTCACTTTTTGCGCATGCGCAGTGGTTTGTATCCTGTGCTTATAAATAAACATTTTACTCCAACACTGTCAATCATAGGTAACTCTAAACCAATCAAAGTAGAGTATTTATTCTTGTTCCCAGAACCTTTTCGAGGGAGAAACGTGAGCTTGGATTCGTGGTAAAGTTGTCATGATTCTTTGAACAATTTCATTTTATAGGATAGGACATCTCATGTTCAATTTTACTGATGTCTCAACTTTCTGTGTTGTTAAGATGTGAAGATATGGGATGACTGGTATGATAACGGTGTGTATTTCTGTTAACCTTCCAAAAATAGCAAATGTCTTTGCCTGGATACTCTTTCAAAACACCAGGCTCCAAAGTCAGGAAAATGTCTCCAATTAACAGCAATGTGTATTTATCATCTCTGGCACCGAAGCTTGATTTTAATTCTAGATCATGTCGGTGATTTACATACATACAAAATGCACCCTTTTCTTTGATACGTGGATACATGAAATTACCCTTTGTCAATGTTTGATTTCATCTGTATTTCACCGATTTTTGCTGTCACCTTAGGATCGTGGAAGAATTAACTTTGATTTTTATTGAACTAACTCTTCTGTAAAGACTGCACGTATACGCTGCCCGTAACGTGCGGTGTCTGTGCGGATGCAAGTGGTGGCATGGCGATTTTTTTTTTTTTTTTATTCAATATTTTTACACTGCTACATGTAGGGTTTGATCTTAATAACTAATTGATTGGCAATACCATATACACAAACAGCTAAAGATAGCAAGACAAAAAGTTTGCTTTTGAAGGAAAATTAAAGATTTTATAGGAGAGCATGTGGTTTTATCTAATTTTAATTGAAACGTCATCGAAAGTGTTTAAACATTTGCTGTAACAGTATGGTGTGGGCGATCCCAAGAGCAGGGAATTAGTAGAATCGATTAGATAGACTTACCGGTGGCTTCCAGATCGGAAAAGATTATGAACGATATCACACACCACGCTAGTGAAAGTTTTAAATTTCTCCTTAACAAATGTACACTTCTAACTTTAAGAGGATGCAAGTATTTTTTAAGCTTTTATCCAACCGCTACATCTTTTTTTTAATAGAAAAAAAACTAAACATTTTAACTATTACCCTAAACATTTTTTTTCTGCCGGATTTATTTTATTTTATTTTTTTTTTTTTTCACTTTCTTAAACCCGAGATGGTAAAGCAATTTCCCATTTACATGTATTTTATAATATGCAGTGCTTGAATAAACTTTATTGTTATTATTATTATTATTATTATTATTATTATTATTACTTCCCGTACGGGCAACATTCGGTGGACTTGCGGTGATCGTAGTAATTGATGAACCTGCTGTTGGTTTCATCCTTTCCACCTTTGGTGGTTATATGGAGGCAAAGCAATGATGTGAATTTATTCAAAGCGTAGTGTAATTCATTTGCATGAATAAGAAGTTTTCTTTTTCTGCAATTGTGCAGCAACTGGGCTGAGACTGAAATGGTTCCGTATGATCGCTTTTCAACCAACAAACCGATTTTCGCAAGGTCATGTTTGGAGAAATGGCACGGCACGCTAACGTAATATGAACATCTCGCTGTATGTAAAAACAACATTGCAGAATATAAAAGGACATTTAAAACCGTAAAAACCCGTTTATTTCAAACAGGGAAAATTTCAAAAGTAAAAAAAAACAACATAAAACAGTCTTCAGATCTCATCATATTTAATTTGGGTATATGTTAAGCAGCTAATGAATCATAATTTAAGCCTCGGTCACAACCAGACGTACGGGCTCTTACGGCCTGTTTGCGTCCGAATTGTGCGCAGAAGCTCACATGCAAGTCCTTCTTGGGAAATTTGGAGTTCGCAGACAGACCGTAACATGACCGACTGGGAAAGCACCCAAAGAGAGCAGAAAAGAAGGGAGTAGGAAAAAGAAAGAATGGGGAGAACAGGAGGCAAAACTGACGCACACGGTCAGTACGTCATTACAGGCATGTGAGGCAAGTATGAAGCAAAAGGAAATTACTTTCGCCGTGCGTAGCATTCTCTTCATAAAGGGTGAGTGCGTGCCACTTACGCAGGTAGCAAGGCAAATTCAAGAAATGAGTACATCGCACCTTGCAATTAGCGTCCCTGCCTCTCACGTGGACCCTGCAACTCGCAAGGCAGACTGGCGCCTTTCCATTTCAAACTTTCCTCTACCTCTACGAACTCCACGGCCTCCACTGCACCCAAAATTCGCAGGGGCCGTACGATCCTAAAATCCGTGGGTCCGGTTGTGACTGAGGCTTTATACAGTATGTTAAGTAAAAAGTCCACTTTTTGTTTGTTTGCTTGTTTTTTTTTTTTTTTTTTGTTTTTTTTTTTTTTTTTTTTCGTATCATTTAACATTTCATTGATATTCATTTTATCACGCTACAATATTTCATTTTATGAAAGTGTTCTTATTTATTCTAACTCGCATTGAAGGCTTAATAAAAGTTATGGATCCAATTAAAGGTATTGTTACCCTTCACCCAAATCTCCTTATCTACTGCCTTAAATAAACTATTTTGGGTAACAGATATACCCCCAGTATTCAGAGACCTATTCAATTAATATTTACACATTACGGGTGACGTCATAATTGCAATTTTGGGGTAAAAACTGAAAAAACGGTTTCTCATATTTCTTTTTTACCTGAGCACCCACGACAGCCGTTTCAACGCCTATTTAATGATACTACTTAGTACTCCAAAACCCTGTCAGCGATTTTTCTTAAAAGTTTTAATTCAGATTTTGTCGTTGATAAAGCAAAATGATGCCCTTGCTTAATGAAAATCTGTAATAAGGGGCTTATAACTTGAGTAAAAAGTCATTGAAACCAAAATGACGGCACGGGATTGTAGTACATACATTCGTGGCCAACTCTGCTAATCTTTGCGCTAAAATCTTGTTCAAAGATAAGTTACGCCCCGATTGCTATCTCACCTCAAGAATAGAAAGCAATGCCTTTTGAAATGAAATAAACTGCCCAGTCTATCAATAATATGCAGTATGTTTCCGTCCAGATTAAAGAAAAAAGCGTTTCGCTGATCACTGGCGTTCGTTTGAAAGAAACTTACTTTAACGTGTTTTTATAAACGCCACGATTTTCAATATCTTAAACTTGTCCTCTAGT